TTTGCGCGCTTGTGTTTTTGTTTCAAAACGATTCTTTTGTCAAATGCAGTGTTTTGATTGGCTTCCACTTTTGAGGAGCGTTGCGTGACGACACTAAAAACGACTGCTTGACCGAAGCTTACAGAGACAGTAACAAAGAGGCTTGTAAGACTTTAATTCTTTTCCGAATGGAGAAAGATACACTTTTTTACACACTTCAGTTTTAATTCAAGAAAGGGCCCGTCTGAATGTTTCTAAAAGTCTCAGGATCTGTAGTCTCATGGTCGTTTTGGAGCTAATGTTATAAATGAACAATGACAGATAAATAGACAGAGAGAGAGAGAGAGAGAAAGAGAGAGAGTCGTGGGTTAGAGGACAACAAACGTGCCCTCTTTACAATACTTTAACATGTGAACAGTAAGCTCGGACGTCAGCATACAAAGGCGCCACTGGCAGCCGCTCTCAGTCCATTACCAACCCAACCCGTGATGTGAATGATGTGACATGTGAAGGTTGACCACAACACCGGGGTCTACGTCCCCTACTCTTTTCGAACAGTGGTGTGGGTTCTTTAACGTCCCACAAGAACCAGGTAAGTGTAAGTGCTGTGAGACGGGACCTACGGTTTTTCGTCCTTATCCGAGAAGACTAGAAAGTCTAACCGTTTTCAGATGTCGTTACAAAGGCAGCACTTTCTTCTCAGTTATTTTAAAGACCCTGAGTGTTGGTCTGGCCGGGGTTCGAACCCGTGACCTCCCGCTCAGCAAACCGGCGCTCTCCCAACTGAGCGAACCAGGCGTAATTTCTTGAAAATTTTTATTCACAAAGTTAATCCTAAAGGCAATTCGCGTAAATCGGTCGAGCACATGGCAAAAATCAATTTTAAATGCACATTTTGTGGTTTTTCTTTCACGCCGATGTCAAAATGTAGAAAACGTCCATGAAACCTTTCTTAATTCAAAAATTCCGTTTTCAAATCGTACTTTCCTTCGATCATAGAGTAGGGAATGTACCTCAAGTGTCTTCAGAAACCTCGCTGCCTTGGTTGGTTCGAAACAAGCCAAGCGTATTAAGAATCTAATTTTTTTTAAAAATTCGGTTCAAATAATCAAGATAGAGATTCGAAGATTTGGAAAAAAAATGTAAGGTGAAATTACAACTGTATTACCAGGGAAATTGCTCTTTGTTGGCAAATTATTGGGAGTTTGAACAATAAATGATTTTATAACAGTAAATTAAATTGTAATAATTGTATTTTTTTAAAAAAAAAACACACACACAGGCGTCTTCGCAAAATAGCGAAAAATCACACGAGAAGAAGAAAATTGCTCCTGTTGCATGGATGATACTTATTGGTGATGCTCTTCACAACTTTATCGATGGGTTGGCCATTGGTGCTTCATATTCCAGTTCAAGATTTATTGGTGTCAGTACTTCCCTTGCGATATTCTGTGAGGAGCTGCCACATGAACTTGGTAAGTAGTAATTAAAGCTATTCTCATACATACCAGATAGCTTTTACTCCTGCACGAAAACGACACCGGATAGGGCTTCTGTTCACACATACGAACGGTGATTTTGGCGCGATTTCTGTAACGGAGCGAAGCTGCGCCGCGCCGATCTCGTGAGAAAAGTGGAGAGTTACATACCTGGATAGGTGTTCACACTAAACCGGATAGCTTTTCGTGTCGGCACGAAAAGTTATCTGGTACTGAGTGTGAATAGTGGAATATAGAAACGTTATCAAAAGAACTACGAGCAGCAAAGTATAGGCCTTTTGCATTACTTAGTCACGTGATCAACTTTCAGTAAACCCAAAAACAGTTCGCTTTTGAACAATTTTGTTAGCACGAGCTGAAAGAGCATATTAAGATCAGGTAACCCGTAAATTTTCAGCCATATATCTCANTCACAACTTTATCGATGGGTTGGCCATTGGTGCTTCATATTCCAGTTCAAGATTTATTGGTGTCAGTACTTCCCTTGCGATATTCTGTGAGGAGCTGCCACATGAACTTGGTAAGTAGTAATTAAAGCTATGTTCATACTATAGGTGGTTTTCATGCAATCTCGGGAGATAACAATGGTGAAATGAACAAATGCTGGTGGACAAACAAAGCGAGCTAATGAGCGATCTTTTGTTTACCGTCCACTAGCATGGCGGCGATGACGTAACGTGAAAACCACCTATACCAGATAGCTTTTACGCCGGCACGTAAACGACACCGGATGGGGCTTCTGTTCACACATAAGAACGGTGATTATGACGCGATTTCTGTAACGGACAGAAGCTGCGCCGCGCCGATCTCGTGAGAAAAGTGGAGAGTCACATAGTGGATAGGTGTTCACATTAAACCGGATAGCTTTTCGTGTCGGCACGAAAAGTTATCTGGTACTGAGTGTGAATAGTGGAATATAGAAACGTTATCAAAAGAACTACTAGCAGCAAAGTATAGGCCTTTTGCATTACTTGGTCACGTGATCAACTTTCAGTAAACCCAAAAACAGTTCGCTTTTGGAC